GGCAACAAAAACAAACGCCACATTCATAGAAATTGACTATTAAAAAAAACTGCCGTACTTCTGACTTGATACCGAACATTTTGAGAGAAAAAACTGGTGGGTTAAACCTGGTTTTATGGCTAGCCAAACCTCCCGCTTATATGACCATGTTAAAAATACTGCTACAATGACAACATTACGTGACAGGAATACAGTACAAATAAATCCAAGAATGCTCATGATAGAGAAATACATAGATTAAAAGACGGGCATCTCCCATGAATTTACGACAGGACATCCGGACACCAAAAACGAAGTATAAACTGTGCGCCAAACGAAGGTATTAACGCCAATGAAATTTGACGTATTTTTTGTGATGTTTATATTATCACAGGTAAATTTAAATGAAACATAATTCATGATTATAATAGCATTTTAAAGCCTGTGAGTGAGTTATATCTTATTGGTTGTAATTACCATCTGAGGCTTAATAGCTCACCATTAAAGGAATTGAATAAGTTGTGTATGAATTTTCAGAAGTGAAGATATATACAATTTACACAGATTCTTGATAGAACAGAGAACCAATCCAGGCATTCACCCCGTAAGCTAACAAAACCTTTAAACAGACTTATTAAGAAGGGATATAGTTACGATACTGTTGTCAGGTCATTAAAGATTGCATATTTTGGCTTTAATATTGATTCACTTATAGGGTCTTTGCATCGGAAATAAACACATTTATTCTAAAACCAGGTGTTGGCATGATATGGGTTATGTTCTTCTCATATATTTTATGATGGTATAATACTAAACCCTTAAAGGGAGGCATTGTACTTGATATTCATATGATAAAGACATAATCTTTCAATCAGTTTAATTGAGGTCTGGAGCTGGCATGTCAGTTACTGCTAGTAGTCCTTTGTTAATTTATGTATCATTGTCATTTTGTTTAGTTTCTTTTGTTACCTATTCTGACATCGGACTCAAACTTCTTTTGAACTGAGTTTTACTGTGCGTATTGTTGTGTGTTTGTTTTTTCTACATTGGCTAGAGTTATAGGGGATGGGGGGTGGGGGGGGGGGGGGGGGGTTGAGATCTCAAAAACATGTTTAACTCCGCCACATTTTTGTGCCTGCTCTAAGTCATGAGCCTCTGGCCTTTGTAAGGGTTGTGTGATTTTTAATTTTAGTTTCTTGTGTATATTTCGGAGTTTAGTATGACGTCCATTATCACTGAACTAGTATACATTTTTGTTTAGGGGCCAGCTGAAGAACGCCTCCGGGTGCGGGAGTTTCTTGCTGCATTGTAGACCCATTGGTGGCCTTTGGCTGTTGTCTGCTCTTCGGTCGGGTTGGTGTCTCTTTGACCCATTCCCCATTTCCATTCTCAATTTTATATACTATAATAAAGGGATTGAAAATAATTTGAGGTCATCATTGTTCGTTACTGACTGAAGTGTTAAATTTTGGGGAAAAACAGGGGTGATCTCGTGTACTGCTGATGGATCAGCAGATTCTGCTCTACATGTGCACACGGTATTTTTATAGTTTTATTTGGTTTTCTATCCTATAAATGTATACATTCCAAATATTCATCGATAAAAGCACTATTGTTTTAACATGAACTATTGATAATTTGTCCAAATATTCAGATATGTCTACCCCCATGAATGGTATGTTCCTCGTTTGTATTCAACAAAACCTTTGGAATGTTTGGGTCTCAATGCTCTTCAATGGGTTCGTACTTTATTTTATTTTTTTAACTTCTTTTTTCGGGAGTGAACCTACGAAAACACATCAACTATAAGAGGAAAACAACTAAACAACAGAAACACTGAACTCCAACAAAAACAAGCGCAAACATACTTAGAAATTGGCTATTTAATAAAAACTGCCACATTCCTAACTTGATACAAGACATTTCAACAAACAAAAACTTGTTGATTGAACCTGGTTTGATGGCTAGCCAAAATTCCAGCTCATATAGCGATATTAAAAATACCACTACAATAACAACGTTACGTGACAGAATTACATTAGAAACAAAACATGAACACTCATTACACAGAAATACATAAATAAATAAAATAATAGTTCAAACCAACATGTAAACAACAGAATTAAAACGGGCACCTCCCATGAATTTACAACACCACAAACGAAGTATAAACTGTGCGTCACACTAATGTATTAACTCCACAAAATAGTTATCCTGCTCTACATAAACACATGTTTTTTGTATTTATTTATTGTTTTGTTTGCTTTTCTATCACATAAATCACCTAATATTCCTAAAATTCATGCACTACTGTATTAACCTGACCTATTGATATTCATACTCAGATTTTCTACCCCATGATTGATATGTTTCCACAGTTGTATTTAAGGATGTTCGCTACTCTGTTTCAAAATAACAAGCTGTTAAAAATACTGATATAAATTGAAAGAATATAGATAAAGGAGCCAGAAAAACAGAAAAAACTGAAGGGTCCGTGTGCTTGTTTTCGAGATATAAGCCATTGAAAATTTGGCGAGAAATGAATCTCTCTAGATTTTTCATGCATTTAATAACAGCACTTTTTTTCTATCAAAAACAATGAAAAAATAACAATGATTTTATAATATTTTCAAATATGACTTTTTTTTTAACTATATGTAATAAAACTATGAAAAGAAACGTAGGGGTTAGTGGGCAAAATATTTAAATGGCATTCCATGAATAAAACCAGAGGATTCAGATTATCTGACAAAGAGTCAAAAACAAGAGTAGCTAACATCCTTAACAAAACCTTTCGGAATGTTTGGTTCTCAATGACTTCGTACTTTATTATGTCTTGTTGACCCTTTTTTCGAGCGTACGAGATTCCTTGCCTATATTTGACCATTTTAACTTTTTTTTTTATCCGAGCGTAATTGAACGTAGAAGAACAAACGTGTGGAGTATATTCTCTGAGAACTCCAAAGACAACACCTGATTAAGGAACTACTGGAAGTGTTTAACGACCTTGATTGGCTTTACAGTCCTCGCACGGTCGGCTCGGTGCCCGAAGGCGTTTGGTGAGCATTTAAACATGTTAAATGTTTTTGTTGTTGTCAAGCTGGAACAAGGCGGCCATTTTGGTTTTGCTGGATTGATTTGGTTTTTGACTATTGTAGTTTGGTTGCAGTCTTCTTCCTTCACAACGGCTGCCTTCAGTGTCATTACGAAACTACTAAAATGAGACGCGAAATATACATAGGGGACATTCAAACACGTTAGTAGAAAATCCCATGGCAAAAATAAATTATAAAAACTATCAAAAGACAAATCATAACCAAGGAAGGTTTGAAACAGCTGTTCGATGTGAGCTAAGGATCCGTGTGAAAGACCATACTTTGACCTATGATGGTTTACTTTTACAAATATTGACTTGGATAGAGAATTGTCTCATTGGCACTCATACCAAAACTTCTTATATCTATGTCCTTTTGTGAAAAAGAAAAGACTTACAAATGCGTCTCGGTCTTCAGTACAAATACATACATTTTATGATTCTTTATACATTGTTCACTGCCAATATCACTTTAACAGTTATCTGTTATGCCCTTTGTATTCTTTATGATGATATAATTGACAAATCATACAATTCTCGATTTTTTATCATCAGACTCTGAAATGTTAGCCATATTCTTTTCTTTAAAGACCGTTCGGAGTATTTTTCAATACACACTGTAAAGAAATTGATAAGACCAACAGAATCGTGAAATCCACATCGATCTTAATGCCGATCTGTGAACAACTGTTCGTCCATCTAACAAATATTTTGACAGAAAGATGGATGGGATAGATTATCGTGATTATTGAGCTACTCTTTATATGAACACTTCATTAACATTGATAAATGTGGGTATTAATGCAAAAAAGGTAAAATCACAATAATACTAAATTAAGAGTACCTAATCAAATGGCAAAATCGAAAGCTCAAACACATCAAACGAATACATAACAAATGTCATAGTCCTGACTTAGAAAAGACATTTTCTTGTAAAGAAAATAATGGATTGAACGAAAGATATCTGTGAAAGAGGAATAGTGATACATCATACCATAAAAAAAAACATTAATGAAAATATAATATCTTTTTGAATAGTGTACACATGAAAATATAATATCTTGTCGAATAGGATACTAATGAAAATATAATATCTTGTTGAATAGGGTACACATGAAAATATAATATCTTGTTGAATAGGGTACACATGAAAATATGATATCTTGTTGAATAGGGTACACATTTCTTTTTTGTCATTTCATGTATTAAAAAGATACACGTCTTTTTTTAATGATATTCAGGACATTCATGAAATTCAGGTAGAAAGAATAAAGTTGTTGTGACAACACTTGCATTACAACGTATTACAAAAATACCGCACAACAAGGTAAATTCAAAACGGAGCATACTTTGCTATACTATACTTTACTTAAAAAATGATAACTTCACGCGTTAGATATTATCAAACAACGTAAAAGGAGGGTTGATATATGTTGTTTGTATATATATTTGAAGTTCATGTAAGCTGCTAAAATGCATATATTTATCAGGATAGCAATGCAAATAACGAGAATATAAACAATAAGTTTGTGCGCATATGTCAAACATATTTTGTGCTAATTAGAACATGACTTTGTTTACAAAGCTTAATATGGACGTCATATAAATGTATTACATAATTGTCTCCAATAATTATCTCCGTATTACAGTATAATGTTCTTAACATTTTCCCATTTGATGCTTCCAACTGAATGAATGTTTTTTCAATTTAGTTTTTGAAACATAGTACTTACGGAATACTGGGAATTCAGTTGATGATGTAAAACATTGACTTCCCTTTTTGTCGGGGATTATGATCATGGAAAAGCTGATGAAAATGGTATCAAAATTTATAGTCTTGCCGTTGCCTAATTACTTCATGATTGTAATGATGATATTGCAACATTACTTTTGATTCTTCAGTAATAGTAAACAACAAACAAAAACACAAATCATTAAATCGTCATTTCAAAACATATGTATTACATTCGTCATGATATCACAACTAATTCAATGACATTCAAAAAGTGTTTGCTGCTAGGTCTTATCCTTTCCATATCAATTATTCGATCCTGAAAGAAAAATATAGTGAACGTTTAGAAGTAAATAACTACTTTGATAATGATACCCTCTAGTACAACAAATTCACAGATAGGAATATTGACCAAGTTGTAGTAATAGCATAAAGTTACCCATGCACAACGTCAGACGCACATTTCAACAATATACATGTATTTTTTCAGTCGTGCTACAAATGTAGATGCCAAAATATAGGAAAATCCGAAACCCAGATTCCAACTTTAAAGAGCTGATAAAAGATTACAAATTATAGATGATAATCCGTATTACTAATGATGTTGACTACTCTGTTTTAAAATAGCAAGTATTTTAAAGAATGTTATACATTGATAGTTTGTATAAAACAGATCTAAAAACGCAGACACTTATTAAAGGTCAATGTCCTTTTTTATGGATATAAGTCATTGAAAGTTTGGCGGGAAATGATTTTCTCTTATTTAATTTTACATACATTTTATATTGACAATTACAAATTGTTTTTTAAATTGAAAGTGATACAACTATAAAAAGGAAATTGGGGATAAGAGGGTAACAGTTGTAACACCATTACATGTATTAAATCAGACGATTCCGAGTATTTGAAAGAATGAAAGAAAAAACAAGACTAGCAAAAGTCATTTTAAAAACCTCATTCATACATTCTTTGAATAATAATATGCTGATGATTTGTTTTGGCCTTTACCTACGAGAACCATAAACATTTTGGCTTATAAAAGAGATAAAAAAAGAGGTGAACGATACCAAATTGACATATAAAATCGTATGTTGAAAATTAACTGACAATGCAATGTAAAACAAAAACAAAAAAAAACAAAAGACAAACAACAGTATACAAAACACTACACCGACAACTAAAGATTGAAAAACACAAACCCAACCAAATTATCTGGTACATGATACCTGGTTATCTCAGGAACTACGAACGATCCTGCTTTTAGAAAGTTATTAAAACATATCTTTCGCATTTTTTATTATCAAATATTGTCAAACATTGACTGAGTATTGACTACATATCTTAAATGGATTCACGTGTATTTATCTTATGGTTGTTAGAAATTTTTAACCTACGCACACAAATTTTATAAAGCGTTGCATGTTTTAGGATAAACGTTTTATTTGCTACATTTTAAATAAGATCTTACTTTTGTTCACATATGAATCTGTATTGTCTGCTACAGTAGATATCACCCCATTTGAGGTCCCATTGCGAGATACGAACGCAATCTTCTCCTGGAAAGCCACTTGGTTCGGTGTCCGTCCAATCAGTAAATGTTAATTGTGTCTGACTACTGACCCACGTAAAAGTACCTTCATTTTGTGTGTCACTTCCACCTAGCCAGTAAGCTACAATATTTATTCAAAGTTAATGCATGTAAAAACAACAAACTATTTTCACATTATTAGAATAATGTAGAATATTACAGATGCAACATAAATATGGTAAACATGGTCAAGAAAAATCAAGTGCCAGCTTTGCATGGTATTCTTATAAACAATAAATATAAACAATAGAATATATTAAAATTTTGACATCGTGTGTAGATAATAAACTTTATGATCTTTCAATCAGTTTAATTGAGGTCTGGAGCTAGTATGTCAGTAACTGTTAGTAGTCCTTTGTTAATTAATGTATCATTGTCATTTTGTTTAGTTTCTTTTGTTACCTATTCTAACATCGGACTCGGACTTTTTTTGAACTGAGTTTTATTGTGCGTATTGTTCTGTGTTTGTTTTTTATCTACATTGGCTAGAGGTATAGAGGGCGGGTTGAGATTTCAAAATAAAAATGTTTAACCCCACCGCATTTTTGCGCCTGCCGCAAGTCAGGAGCCTCTGTCCTTTGTTAGTCTTGTATGATTTTTAATTTTAGTTTCTTTTATATATATTTAGGAGTTTAGTATGACGTCCATTATCACTGAACTAATATAAATATTTGTTTAGGGGCAAGCTGAAGAACGCCTCCGTGTGCGGGAGTTTCTCGCTGTATTGAAGACCCATTGGTTGCCTTAGGCTGTTGTCTGCTATTTAGTTTGGTTGTTGTCTCTTTGAGACATTCCACATTTCCATTCTCAATTTTATCATTATACAAAAGTGTTTCTAGCTTTTGAAAAAAAAGTAAAATGTGTCAGTTAGTTTAACTAAATTAAATTAGATTTATGCAAATTAAACAAACCGCGAATGAACTCACTGTGTATGAATACAATTAAGACAGTTACTTTCTTTTGTGATTTTGTACGAACACGAACTTGCAAGATTTTGCAATGTTTATAGATTTAAATATTTTTGAAATACATAGTTGTTTCATAAATGTACATGTGAGGTATTTCCATAGCATTCAATATACATACTTTGGCCATATTCAGTTGCTACATTCTTCAAAAAGTCGTTTTCTAAACTAGAACCGACTTCTACTAGCCTACTTCCATAGTTATACTTGCACGTCAACTATAATAGCAAACATCAAATGATACTACGTTTCTATTTACAGGTCATTCATATCGCCTTATTGTATGTATAAATTAGAATGATACGTCTTCCATGAACAATCAAAACTATGAAACATAAACAACACGTGCAAATGCATTATGTGCGGAAAGTGTGAATAAAAATTGTTTTTGAAACCATATAGATTTTATAGTTTTCTACACTATGTTAATGATATTATAAAATAATCTGGTAATAGTCATGAGTTAGTCTTTTATTGATAATGATTCAGTGTAATGCAGGCTTTTTTGTCTTAAAGTATTTAAACCTTCCAATGGTATTGGAGGGTTCACAATAAAATCATTGGATTCAAACATTAGGAAAAACATTGAGTCAAATGTTCTTTTGGGGATTTAAATCTTAATCGACAAAGCTTAGGTACCGTAGTTGCAGATCAGCCATTTTTTATATTTCGCTTATTTTTTCATCACTGGAAATGGGTTATAAGGGTATATTGATACCCATTAACTTCCATTTGCGGATCTAGAACTTTTATAAGGGAGACCATTGACTGCCATAAGAGGGGGCCCGCTACAATATAAAAAAGAAGATGTGGTACGATTGCCAATGAGACAAATCTCAACAAGAGACCTAATGACACAGAAATTAACAACTATAGGTCACCGTACGTCCTTCAAAAATGAGCAAAGCCCATACCGCATAGTCAGCTATAAAAGGCCCCAAAATGACAATGTAAAACATTTCAAACGAGAAAACTAACGGCCTAATTTATATACAAAAAATTAACGAAAAACAAATACGTAACACATAAACAAACGACAACCACTGAATTACAGGCTCCTGACTTGGGACAGGCATATACATACAGAATGTGACGGGGTTCATGCTTCAGTGATCCCTATATAAACAACCACATTTTTCCCACGTAACGGTCGGGGACAGAGACCCCAGGACCCCCTGGATCCATCTATGACTACCATTCACAAATATTTAACATTTAGGTCTTTTTTTCATGTTTTTTTTAATTATAATTGTAACTTAATCGATCAGTTGCTAAATGTGTTTCGGTTTAGTGAAAATGGCTACAAGACCAACAGTATTCAGAATTTCAGTTGCAGTCACTACTAAAATCAAAATGTGATGCTAATTAACTGAAAACAGAAACTATTGATCACCACTTTCAAAGTACAATAATAATATAGGATGTTACAATTTCAGTTATAAAATATCAAGTTCATTGAAATCGTAATACTAACCCTAGCTTCGTCCCACGATTTATCCTCTTTGCTGAAGTAGAGGCATTTATTTTCGTACTGTAACCATTTGTTTGGGAATGAATCTGAATGTACAGAATAAAATATTTGGAATATATTGATCAAAGATCGTTTCACAAAAAAACATGCAATTTCAGATCTTACGTCGGTCGTTTGTCTAATCGTACGATTTCGACCGTTTAATTAAAAATCGTATTTTTTTTTCTCGAAGATTCGAGCGTAAAATTACAAGTGGTAAAACGTAGTCGTAGGTCAGATTGTAGTGGATAGACCTGTCGGTATTTAGTTAAAACAACAAAACTACATTATCTTAAAAAATAATTAAGTTCCATGTGATGCACAGAATATCCATGTTATTTTTTGTTCCAATCATTATTAACTGAAATTTTAAATTCTTGAAATAATCGTCAATTCAAAATTCCTGCATTAAAATGTATGTTAATTGAACTAAAACGAGCATCTTGCTTCCAAAGTTCCAAATCTTTGGCCGTAAAAACCTTAGACGTGATTGAACTAGCACAACACTGATGACATCTTCTCTTACAAAAACATGATGATTACACCTAGTTAGTAAGTACATTGTAGCCAAATTTTAAGCATTATCATTTATAATTTCACAACATATTTGCAAATAATCACCAACATGACCTAAGAAAGTTTTCAAAAACTAAGGGAAGTAGTTTATTTTTAAAAAAAGCCTGAATGTAACTTGCAATCCATTGTTCCCGATTAAAGGTAACAACTTCCTGACTTACCCATGTTAAATTTTGTGATTGAGTAGATATCAGAAAAAGTTTTATGTATAAGATGCTTTATGGTGAAGGAGTATTTTGTTCCATAAATTAATAAGCAATCTAAACATTGAAATGATCTTTCCCTTATAACAAGACCGAATATGAAAGTTTGTCATATAAAAGCTTTTTATTATACACGATAGACATCAACTAGAAATTATCAATAGCTATCAATAAACAACGGCTTGGTACCAGGTACATCTGTGACTTAACATCGCTGACTTTACTGGTATTGCATTTACTATGTACACTTACAAATAGAAATACAAATCGAGTAATTGCTTTTGTTTATGGCTTAAACTTTTTATAAAAATACAGGTTTAATGATTTTGTGTCTATTTCTTGATTCTTCCCAAAGCAAACCCCCTGATTGTAAACATATTTATACTTAAATTTTCATCAACCATTATTAAAAAAGAGGTGATTATTATTTCCATTTCAAGTAAAAACAACAAATTTACCTGTAGTTTTCATTAACATAACTGCATCAATTGAAGACTCATTTTTGGGGCAACAAGATTCATCCAAGTAGCAGTCTTTTGTTTTCATGTCATAACTAGCATAGCAACAAGTTTCCTGTATGGAGCACAATGACGCACAAGCAGCTGGAGACAATGTTATTTGCTTTATTACTGATGTACTGCTAGGAAGAATTCTTCTATCTTTTGTAGTAACAAAGATATGTTTTAGAACATTCATCTCTGCAATACCCATTGAAAACATTACACACAAAAACACAATAGAAAAATCAACTTTCGTTTGCGAAATCAACATGGTAAAGAATTGTCAGATTGTATATAATGCTTATTTGAACTTAAATATATTTCCGAAAGAACATTCTGAAAAAGCAGACACTTAAATAGACAGCTGTATCGGATCAATTAACATTAAAACCTTGATTGATCACTAATTTTGGATTGTATGGCGATTATTTTAATCTGATAACATTTTCCAATATTGGTATTGATTTTATGACGGATTTATCCTGAATTGATGATGTGATGGAATACAGGTTACGTTAAAGAAATGGTACTCCAAATAATGGAGATATAATTATGAGAAGAAAAGTATAGTACACAGACTCGTTTCTTTTCCCTTTCTCGATTAACCCTGGAATGGTTTTTGAACTTTTGTGTTCATCCTGGAAAACCAACAAGTTAATAGCAAATGATTGATATGAAATAGGCCGTCAATGCGTAAGTGATATGCAACATTATTGTTTCGCGGAAGTTTGAACTGATTATTGTTTCTAATTAACTATTATCTATCGCGATGTCAACAGATCAACAAACTTGTGACTTGTGTGTTATTTGAATATTGTCATATTGTGTATTTTATGTTGAAACATCATTTACAATAAAAAGTTACAGCCTTTGACGAATTATATTCATACAATAGCAAACACTATTATAACAATAAGCATTCAAATATAATTACAAATGATATTTACTAAATGAATCACAAATTGGGAATCAATTGGAATATTATCATCTATACAGTTGGCTGAAATCTAACATGCATGAGCTAGTTATAAAATTCCGCCCATTTTGTAATCATGAATGCATTCTCAACAAAGTTCGTAGGCTGTGGTTGTGTATAGTTATATAACCGGAATGTACTTTTTTATTTGTTGAAGTCATTAGTTCAACTCTGTTTTTCATAACTATTTATTAGTTTTAACAATGACAACATAAAGGATTACGTGATAAGTGTACAATGTAATGTATTTGGGATTAATGTAATTAGAATATTGAGCTCGACTCATTGAACGGGAAAGATTATTTAGAAATAATATAAATATTTCAAAATAATTACATTTTGAAACTTCCCGACGGACCTAATCAGAATAAGTCGGAAGAATAAAACCGGATATAAACGAAAGACGAACAGCTTATTTTTGAATTTTATTTTGTAGATTTAATCAAACAATTAGTTCCTATGACAGAAAATGTAATACACCATTCACTTTGAGGTATGCCTATCAAATAAGATATATTTCTTGTTTCTTGTTTTCAACTATTATCAAGGTTATATGGGGAGGGGGTCTGTCGTCAAAGACATTGCTCTCATTGTTCTGCACCAACGTAATTTCTATTTGAAACTATTTCCGGATGTGGTGATCTTTTCATCCACTAAACAATAACAGTAAAACATCGTAATGCTTAAGTTGCTTCCTAATTTACCCTAAATTTACCCTACTTGGAACGTTACTGGACACAATAACATATAAGCAGCAATAATTGCAATTTTCTAGATGTGTCAATTTCAGTTTCACACGGGGAACGCAACACATAAGATTGCATTTGTAGAAACTAGTTTTCTCGTAGTATTATTAATTTTATTTTTTGAATGTGGCTGATCATTAAGTCCATTCTAACGGTGTATTTATTTTTCAGGAATACCTTTACAATACATTACTTGAAACCTTTACAAAATTATTTCAGAGATACTTTTTTGTTTGGACGTTTGGATGTTCCGATAGTAGTCTTTATACGAACGGAATATCCCATCTAAAAACGTTTCTACTAAAGCATGCATTGCAGAATTGTACGACATTACATAATTCCTAGAATCCATGATCATTCACCTATATAAGTAGAGGGCCATAATTTCTGGATTTCTATTTTTTGTATTGTAGTGCACTTTCTCTAGATATGGGAGCGCTTTATTTAGTTCAGTTGCTTGTTTATTCTAAAAGCCGTTAAAGTTCTACTAACCATGGACTCATAAATCATAAACTTGTTTCCAGTATATATTTTTTTTTTCAATTTCTCTTTCAAATGTTTATGATATTACACCTTCACCATGTTCATGTTTATATACAATTTACTACAATTTAAGAACAAATAGGAGTGACGTCATTGTAAGACTCACTCAACAATATATCTTCTTTACAGTTAAGAATCTTGTGGTCCTTTCGGCAGTTCAGTCCTCAACGCTCTTCAATTTCGTACTTTTTTTGCCTTTTTCACTTTTTATTTGAGCGGCACTGATAAGTTTTTTGTAGACGAAACGTGCATCTTGAGTACACAATTTACAGCCTTTGATATAAGATGAGTTATGTCCACAGAGTGGTCATTTACAAATACGTTAAACCCAGCAACATTCTTTATATGCATGTCAGACATTATGAGTCTGTAATACAGTGATTGTAGACGGTTGGTGTCTGTCATATTGCGTTAAAGTTCGTTGATTTTCTCGTTTGATATGTTTCACATTTGGTTATGTCGGCTATTTTAATGCTGACATATATATGTTTCACATTTGGTTAGGTTAATGCTGACAATATAATAAAGGGTTTGTTTTTCGCTAAAGGTCAGATTGATTATAACTCAGATCCATATCATTTAGATTCTGGTTGATAGTCTCATAACCAATCCTACCACATCTCTTTATTTTTTTAAGATTAAATATCACTGTTTAACCAAATTACTTGCACTGGATTCAACGTATAAAGTGATCTGTCATTTTGAACCATTGAATTTATTTTTTTTATTCTTACTTTTATGATGAGTTTATTTACGATGCCACTGCTGGTTGAGTTTTTATTCCCGGAGGCTATCACCAGCCCAGTAGTCAGCATTTTTGTGTTGACATGAATTATTATTTATTTGGTCATAATTGTTTGTAAATAAATCTTTTACAAAACTTTGAATTTTTGAAATACTATGGTTTTCTACCTTTGGAATAGATTACCTTAGCTATATTTGGCAAACTTTAGGAATTTTTGGTCCTCAATGTTCTTCAACCTCGTACTTTATTTGTCCTTTTTTAACATTTTTTTATTCGAGCGTCACTGATGAGTCATTTGTAGACTAAACGCGTGTCTGGAGCAAATACAAAAGTTTAATCCTGGTATCTATGATGAGTTTAGTTACAACAAATGGGTCAATGACACTATTGGTGGAGTTTTTATTCCCCGAGGCTATCATCAGTCTCGTAGAAAGCACTCTATGTTGACATGAACTATCATTGCTATGGTCATAATTATAAATTAACTGTTTACAAAACTTTGAATTTTTAAAATACTAATAAAATTGAGAATGGAAATTGGGAATATGTCAAAGAGACAACAACCCGACCAAAGAGCAGACAACAGCCGAAGGCCACCAATAGTTCTTCAATGCAGCGAAAAAATCCCGCACCCGGAGGGGGTCCTCAGCTGGCCCCTAACTAATGTGTGCTAATTCAGTGAAAATGGACGTCACACTAAACTCCAAAACATATAAATGAACTAAAATTAAAAAACATACTATACTAACAAAGGCCAGAGGCTCCTAAATTGGGACAGGCGCAAAAATGCGACGGAGTTCAAACATGTTTTGTGAGATCTCAACCCTCCCCTATACCTCTAGCCAATGTAGAATAAAGAAACACATATCAATACGCACAGTAAAACTCAGTTCAAAAGAAGTGCGAGTCCGATGTCAGAAAAGGTAACAAAAGAAACTAAGCAAAATGACAATGATACATAAATGAACAAAGGACTACTAGCAGTTACTGACATCCCAGCTCCAGACCTCAATTAAACTGATTGAAAGATTATGTCTTCATCATATGAAAATCAAGTACAATCCCTCCCATTAGGAGTTTAGTATCATACCATCATAAAATATATGAGAAGAACATAACCCGTATCATGCCAACACCTGGTTTTAGAATAAATGTGTTTATTTCCGATGCAAAGACCATATGAGTGAATCAATGTTAATACCAAAATATGCAATTTTTATGCCGCATTTTTGCGCCTGTCCCAAGTCAGGAGCCTCTGGCTGTTGTTGTTAGTCTTGTATCATTTTTAATTTTAGTTTCCTGTGTATAATTTGGAGTTTAGTATGACGTCCATTATCACTGAACTAGTATACATATTTGTTTAGGGGCCAGCTGAAGGAGGCCTCTGGGTGCGGGAGTTTCTCGCTGCATTGAAGACCCATTGGTGGCCATCGGCTGTTGTCTGCTCTATGGTCGGGTTGTTGTCTCTTTGACACATTCCCCATTTCCATTCTCAATTTTAATCCTTAATGACTTGACAACAGTATCGTAACTATATCCTTTCCGAATAAGTCTGTTTAAAGGTTTGGTTAGCTTTTGAGGTGAATGCCGACATTTTTGTGCTTTGTAAAGAATATTACCATAAAATATTGGATGTGAAATACCTGAACGTATAAGATGTCTGCATGTTGATTTATATTTACGAATGATGTCCTTGTACCGATGATAAAATTTAGTAAATGTTTTTGACTAGTTTGTGATATCGAAAACCCTGGTGCAATAATGTTTCAGTAATACAGAGATTTCTTTCGTTGAAATCAAATACGTTGTTACATAAACGAGCGAATCGAACAAGTTGAGATATATAAACACCATAAGATGGCGACAAGGGAACGTCACCATCTTAAAATTGATAATTAACAATAGGAAATGAAAAATCATCTCTTTTATCATAAATTTTGGTATTAAGCTTCCCGTTAAAGATAAAGATATCAAGATCCAGGAAAGGGCAGACTAAGGCTTTTTTACCACAGGAATAGAATGTATGTGAAGTTAGCGGCGGGTTGGTTATTCGATATTCGATATTCAATATCCAACCCGCTGTTAGCAGTCGGTTCGATATTCAAATTTAGTTGAAAATCATTAAAAAATAAAATATTTGATAGCATTAAAAGCATGTTTTCATAGTTAAGAGGAGTGAAAAGATAAGTAGGAAATCGTTTTATGACCCCTTCAAGCTGTCGTAAATTCTCGTTGTCCTCGAATATATACCCTAATATATGTTACATATTTGTCGTTATCACT